GTATTTAATAATGCAACTGGCAGACGCAAAGTTGCATACAACCCTTTTTTTAATTCAATAATGTGAAGCAAAGTATTGTTCGTTTTTTTAAGAATACATCATATTCGAGTTTATATACTAGAAAACCAATTTCGTCCACAACTTAGAAACAAAAGGAACCTTTTGGGGTAAAACCACATCATCAATATTACAGTCCATCACAAGACCACTACTGAACATAGGAAATCCGCAAGAAATTCCACTGATACTGAGCCACCTGTATCCACCGATAAATTCACTATACTTAAGCATCCCGGGTTATCCCCACGAACATAAATAACATTGTTGATATTTTAAGTGCTATGTTATTACATGCGCTATTTTATCGTTGGTGAAGAAAAACATCCTGAAAAAAAATTATAAGGCATATGAAGTTCACTAACACGTATTAGAGAAACGCCACGGACATTTTCTTGTCCTAAAACCCCCCTCAGAAATGAAAAAAAAAAACCTGTAAACCTGTGCCTTTTGCCGTGAAATATGTATAGGCTAAATTTGCTTTACTTTTAAGCTAAGTCGTTCCGTTTTACCATCTTCGGCTAAATTACTACTTACCATCATGTAGAATAGAAGTCAAAAGCTTTCTAAAAAAAGTAAAAAAAAATAAATAAAAATGTAGGTTCCCCATTTAATAGAAAGAAGTACTGATATCTCTGCTACGTGACTTAATCTAGTGTTTTGTGTTAACGTGTGGAGAATTATTGTAAAATTTTTCCTGCTCCTTTTTCAGAAGTGGGCTTGTGATGGGCTTAAATTATCATGATTAAAAATTTTAAAATATTAAACATATTTATTCTTTACATTTAATGATTAAGATCTACGGATTTAAAATTTTTGGATTTATCTGAAAAAGATTTTTAAATCCGTTTTAGTAAAAATTCGTGACTCATGAAGATTGTGTCATGTTAACTATTCTAATATTTAAAATACTTATTTAAAATTCAATGCATTTTACTACCAACTGTTACTTTTGATAAGCTTAAAAGTTTTTTAAAGCAAACTTATAGCCACAACTTTTTAAATCTTCTCATGCGCAACTAAGCTGAAAATTTTTAAAGTTATGACAACTGTGCTGAAGTTGGAATATGAATTCCTCGTTTTCTCCACAGACGAAAATTTTCTTTAAGCTTTTGTTATTTTTGAGGTAAGAGGATTTGGTATTACTATATTTATCACATTTCTCTTCTTCTAAAACAGTCTGTAAAAGTTAACTGCTGCCTTCAGGTTAAATGAAGTATTTTAGCACACAGTTCACGTTGAGACAAGTGGGGGCTGTGGTTCATAAACATCTACATTTATCCTGTATTGAGAAACAAAATTTAGATACGTTTTCACCCCTGAGGACTAAGATTGAATACCTTATTTTCAATAAAAAAGGTCTCCGGATCTGACCAGATGATGGATGATAATTTTACAAAAAAAAAAAACGCTAAAGACGCAACGTAAAAAAGAATGTAAATTAAACAAATAAAATGTATTCGTTTTCCTGACCAAGAATGATAAAAAGTAAGCAAAAGCAAGTATGAAATACATTATTTAAAACTTTGACTTAATAATGGAGACACATAAAAGAGCAAATTTTCATCGACGGTTGAGGCTATAAAGCTTCGTTAAAATAGTAAAATATTATTCACTTTAAATCTCCCCTATGCATTGCATTGAAAACCGTTAGACGTTCGCTTGGAGTAACTTCCAAAAAATTTTGCATTTGGTATTCTTTACATTGAGAAATACTTGAGTTTTGTTTATACAGTGGCAAATTTCTCTACAAGGAGTTAAAATTTTCATATACCTTCAAATGCTCCAGGTTAAATTATCACAGTGTTTCTCTATATCACCTTTTGTTAGTTATTGAGTATCATTGATAAAATTGGCATCATATGAAATGAACGCGGTACTTAATTAAATAATACCAGAACCAAATAGTAATAAAATTAGACAGCCAATTATTGTTGTCCTTATTATTACAACATTTTATACGTGGTAGAATCATGCTGCAGCTATATTATAGTTGTAATACGAATGGGTCAGTTTGACCGGAGAAGAACCATGCTCTCACAGAAAGCTAGCGTAAAATAGCAGCTTAATTCTGCTGTGTTTCGCGTAGCAAGTGTAGAGAACCGGACACTTTTTACAGGAAACGATACATTTCATCTTAATCATCAGGAGTAATAACGAATTTTTATTTTACTTCCACTTATCATCAGCTCGACTGTACGCTCGTTTGTTACCCTTTTTCTTTAAAAAAAAGTATATATACACATTTTCTCAAATAAATTCAAAGTAATTTTATTGATTTACCATTATTTTTATTCAATATCACAAATTAAAATGTATTCGTAATTTTTTCTAATTAAAACATTTAACAAATTAGAGGCAAAATTATTTCACAAAATTATCGTTTGTAAAGCTCAAATTATAAATTATATTACTAAGCATAAATTTTACTCGTAAGAAAAAAATCTTACTAAATCGCCGCCGTCTGTTTGTAGTGCCCAGAAAACTGACTGAGTTTCCTCGTTGTATTGCGAGGCTAATCCAAAGATATTGTTTTTTTTTTTAATATTTTTTACATTTCATATTTAAATAAAATAAACAGATTTCAACGTAGCGTATCACGGTTTTATTTATTCTCTCCTTATTACTCGATACGTCAACAAGGGATATTAATTATCTCTCATAACATTATTTGCAATGAAAAGTTTAAACAGTCATAATTGTGATATTCTGAAATCATATAGTTATTTCCATTTGTATAATATTTAACAATGGTTCGTGACTGCTATTTATTCTCATTATATAAATGGTTATCTAGATCTAAATTACTTGTATAATAACTAAAATAATGGTTATTGATATTTATTTTAAATAGGCTTCCACCAGCGATTTTTCCGGACAGATACTAATTAGGGACTTTAAAAGAAGAGTTGCCTACTCTTTTTTAAAAGGCCCGCAAGGGATCTGCCATTCCCTTGGCGTTGCAGTTTTCGTCACGGGCTCGTTTGCCCTCATTTATATATAAAAATAATAAATGTGATGATGATGTAAACGAGTATAAAACCCTATATTGACAAAAGATTGTCAGCAAAAAGAGAAGATTGTGGGAAAAACAAGAAAAATCTAATGGCGGATAGAACGTGTACGTGGTAAGGCAGTTGCTGTTGCTATATTATGGCTGCAGCGAGAATGGGTTGGCTAGACCGGGTTAAAATCGAACTCTTATAGAATACCTGAGTCATATAGCAACTTATTGATGCTATTTCTTAGACTTAGTAGAACGAAGCATTATATTTAAGTCCTTAAGTATGATAGGGTATTCTGCTTTTCATTCGCAATTGAGAATGGGTGTAGGGTTAATGGGCCATAACTTCAGGTGAAAATATATTCATTTGTCATTCATATTTCTATAAATAAAACTCTGCTTATATACCACTATTTAGTGTTGGCATTACAGAATCTACTACAATGTATTCGTGGATATTGCAAGAGGTGACAAAAGATATTGAAGCAGAATTTAGGCAGAAATATACCTCTAATAACAACTCAAAATAACAAAAATTGCGGGTTTCAACTCAAGCGTAGCAATTTTGGGCAATATTGATATTATGAGGAAATTTTCGGGAAACCCTGTGTCAGCAGTGAACCTGTGATATGGTATAATGATGATAATGATGGTATATGACAGCAGGAGCAGAGTTATAGGTTCGAGACAGCTGATTCTACAATTGCCACTCCAAATCAAATTAAACAAATCTTGCCAGATATTGACAGCACGTGTATAGAAGATACATATGACCAGTAAAAAAACTGTTTACAAGCTGATGAAAATTATTTAATAGAAAGCATCATCCTTTAACCTCTATTACAGCCCATAAAAGTACACTTCTAAAGAGAAGGAAAGATTCTGCTGCCCATCACCTGTTTCGATTTCCCTCTATCGCTTCTTACGACACCCACTGGATGATAGTGTATATTTTTACACCGGGACTACACGGTATCTGGATTATACAAATTATTATAAAATAAAATATTTTTCTTTATTCAAAGGGACTAAATTATAGACGTGATATCGCTACGTTACCAATTTAAGTCACTTACTGTCCAGAAGTTACAAATAAATATAATAATCTAACTACGTCTGACAAGGGCTTAGCCAAATAATATTACCGCTGCTTAATTGACAACTCAATTGAAGGAACGTACTCTCGTAGGTTCTCGTAGTTTTCTAGGCATATCCGGCACATATTATTTGACACCTGTAACTTCAGAGACGAGACAGTTGATTGACGTCACTAGGAATGTATTGAAGCAATATATTTTATGGCCTTGATAGAGTGATTCTTACTTAATATTAATTTATGAGTTAAAAAGAAATTATATTCTTAATAAGAATATCACATAACTTTTTCTTATAAACTTATTTTTAAAAAAATATTTTATTTGAGGACATGCTAATAGCATGAGATTTGAAAAGGTAAATTAAGAATTCTATGGCCGTTTTCTGTTAAAATGACAATTATTCATTACAGCTTTTCAAGAGTACACCGTTGAACATAGCCATCATACATAGATTACCTAATACAGGATTTTGCCACAGTTGCCACCTTGGGTGGCAGGCTAGCAATCGCGGGATTTTAAAATTTTAAATATATTTTTTTTAATATTTTATCGTTCCATGGGTGTCTTAAGTAGCGACAGAATGAAACTGAAACAGGAGATGGGCAGAAACATGTTCCTGTTGACCACTTAACCCAGATACTGCGACGGGGCTTTTAAAAGACCCGAAAAAATTATTAAAAATACCCTAAAGTTTCGAGTTGTTAAAATGAATTCTCTAAGATATTTGCACTGACAGGTTACTTAGTACCTATTCGTGTATGATTTCATGCGGTGTTGTTTACAACTAGACACTTGTTTATTTAAAGTTTTTGTGTCAATGAAGACTTAGGAGTATTAGCGTCATGATGTCTGGACAAAGGTAAGCTTTTATCATTTATATATCTGGATGTTGTTGCTAATACATTTTGATATTTAATTTTAGATATATTATCTACAATATCAGGTTATCTATTTGTTTTGGTGCATCAAAAACTCATTCCTTTTTCACGTTTCAAATTGATGGCCTTTTTAAAGTCCCATCGCAATATGGGGGTCTATAATATTATTGTTTTCTTTTTAGCACGCGACCTTTGAGAGCACTCAATCTCAACGATATAGTTGATGAATTAGAGCGATGTGAGGATGATGATTTGTTGCCAACTCAAATTACAATTTTTCCACCTGAGAACGCTAATGCCGACGTCACAGATGAGGATTCTGGAGCTGAAGAATTTGTTGCATTGCAAAATCTACCAGGTAAAATATTTGTTTTCGGGTTGATATAATTATGTATCAATGATTCTATCTTGTTTTATTTATATGGTTGCAATATTTATATCTGTTTTTATAGGCTCTCAACTACGAGCTCCAGCCGAGGTCACTTTTCATATGAGTTCCGACGAAGAAGATGATGTACCTTTGTCAAGTTTGTCAAAAAGAAGACGCACGATGGATTTGACTTTAGAAGATAGTGACGTCGTACCTTCTTGTAGTTCAGATGTGTCAACTAATTCTACATTTGTTCAGCCTACAGTTCCCCGAAACCAAAGCTATAGATGGAAGAATCGTCATATTCCAAACCATTTCAATCAATGGAATGACGAACAAGGTCCAAAAAACTTACAATAACCCTTATATTATTTCGACTGCTTGTTCAACAACAATGTTATTGAATTACTAGTGCAATATACCAATTTGTATGCAGGACAGAGGAATAAAGTGGGCAAAGTAACTGTTTCTGAAATGAAGTGTTTCTTGGGCATTCTTATGTACAGCGGGTATGTAGTAGTACTCCGTAGGTTTATGTATTGGGAGACATCGACAGATGCCGACTTTAGGATTGTGCACAACGCTATGTCAAGAGATCGTTTTACTTTTATTATTTCAAATCTCTACTGCTGTGATAATACAGTTCTTGGTGATTCTCCTGACAAATTCGCTAAGTTGAGACCTCTGTTTGACGAGTTAAATAAAATCTTTACTGAAATGGCTCCGCTAGAAGAGAACTACAGTATAGATGAGGCTATGGTTCCATACTATGGACGTCACAGTTGCAAACAGTTTATACGTGGCAAACCAATTCGTTGGGGATATAAACTGTGGGTTGGTGCTACAAGATTAGGCTACGTGATTTGGTTTGATCCTTACCAGGGAAAATCTTCAACCATTGCAGAAGGTTACAAACAGTTTGGTCTAGGAGGGAGTGTGATTTTGGAGTTTGCTGATGTTCTACAAGGTCGTGATCCAACATTGCGATTTCATTTATTCTTCGACAATTATTTTTCCTCTATTCCTCTACTGCATGAACTTAGTAATAGAGGTCTGAGAGCCACTGAACTATTCGTGAAAACAGAACGTCCAAGTGTCCTCTCGAGTCTAACAAAGATTTCAAAAATACTGATAGAGGTTCATTTGAATTCAAATCCAGTTTGCCTACCAATATTTTGGTTTGCAAGTGGAATGACAATAGTGTCGTTACTGTTGCCTAGAATACTGAAACTGTGGAGCCCCTGCAAAAAGTCAAGAGATTTTCGCAAGAACTAAAAAGATTTGTACATATTGACCAACCGTCGGTTATAAGAACCAGTTAAGAAAATACAATGAAAATATGGGAGGAGTCGATAGATCCGATCAAAACATAGGGTTGTATCGGACTTCTATTCGTAGCAAGAAATGGTATTTTTCACTGTTTTGTCACACCTTAGATATGGCTGTGCATAATGCATGGCAACTTTACAAGCGAGATGGTGGAGAACATGATCATCTCACTTTTCGTAGACTACTGGCGAAAGGTTTGCTCGAAAGCTACAAAAAAAGCGATAAGAGAGGACCATGTCCCACAGGTAGATCTCATCCAGTACAGTCCAGTACAGCGCTCCCCAACTATGATGCAAAGTTTGCAAAGTTAAAAGTTTTTTTATTTGCCAAAAGTGTAAGATTCATTTACATCCTAAGAACTGTTTCCTTGAATATCACACTAAAACTCAGTAAAGTTAGTGAACTTTACTGACTTTTAGTGTGATATACTTAGTGAAGTGCTGTTGTTTTATTGTGAGACATCATATCACATAACTTGCTATACCTATGTCTATTTTCTTTTGTATAGTTAACATTTACCGTAATAATAAAAAACTAATATAATAACAGTTTGTTTTATTATTAGGCCGCCACATACATGTAAACAATCCCCATATTACGACGGGACTTTTAAAAGCCCACCCTTTTCCGGCTTTTCTGAAAACATGTAATTTTTTTTACTATTTTTCCTGGAATGAAAATGACCGCGCCAGGCTCTACTGGGACCGGGCCATCATCACAGACAGGACTATTCTTGCAAATAAGCCTGATATTGTGCTGATGGACCGGGCACAGTCAAGGATATTTTTGGTCGACATTACCATTCCGTATGACGAGAACCTCGTGAAAGCCGAAACAGATAAGCAAACAAAATATCTGGACCTGGCTCACGAGGTGACCGACATGTGGGGTGGTCTGCCGACCGAAATTATTCCTGTAGTCGTCTCTGCAAACGGGCTAATCCCAGTCAGCCTCTCGGGTCATCTGAGGCGGCTGGGACTACGTGGCGGACCGCTCCGGGTTCAAATGTAGAAGGCGGTGGTCCTCGATACCGCCCGCATCGTCCGTCGGTTTCTTTCCCTTTCCCCCTAACCCTCGACCGTTTGGTCTCCCCTGCCGAGGGCTTCCATCTGGTTGGGTCTTTATTTATTTGTGTACTTTTTGTATTTATTTTATGTTATTGATATTTATGTATATTTATTTTTTCATTTTAATTTATAATTATATATTTATAGAAACCAACCAGATGAGAAAACTATACAGATACCCCAAAAATAATAATAATAATAATAATCATCTTTATTCAGGCAAATTACACCCATATCCAGTAAGATCAAAGAATTTAAAATCAGTCTCTAAAATTAAGCAATAAGTAAATCAATGTCAATAAAAAATAACAATTTTAAAATAATAGATCTAGTCAATGTAAATAGGCAGTAATGTCAGTATATAAAATATATTGAAATAAATTTAAAATTAAAATTAATAAATAAATAACAGAATTACACACATTTATCAGTCAGGAGACGAGAACAATAATTAAAGCTTTCTCTGAGGCAATTGTGCTGCAATAAATTAATTTAAAATCAATCTCCACAAGTATAGCAATACAATACATAAATCAATGGCAACAAAATAACAATTTTAAAATAATACATCCAGTCAATTTCAATAAGCAGTAATGTCATTATATAAAATAATCTAATGAATTAAAATAAAGTTAATACCTAAATAACATAATTGAAACACACTTTTATCAGTCAGGAGACGAGATCAATCAAAACTTTCTCAGAGGCAACTGTTCTGCGACATGTCTGTCGCAGCAATGCCGGATAATGTAACAGTCTAACCTTCATAATAATTTTAAGATGTTGATAATATTTTAATGTTTCATCTTCCCGAACAATTTGTGATTGCTATTGTGTTTTGCACTGCAATGTAGGTTACCTTGTAATTCCAATACTAAGCTAGAAATACTTAGCAGTGTTTTAACGCTGGAGACGTGCCAAGCCCGTCGAATTAGAGCGCTCACTTCGTTAGGTAAATTGATAAGGCGAAGGCGTCTTCTAAATTTTGAATGGGCCCTAAGGTAAAATAAAATTTACTATGATTACTATGACCGTATAGCTAGAAAGACTGACAAACAATGTCATATATCAAAATCTCAATGACGTCGAAACAGTTATATTAAAAACTACAACTTCACTTTTCCCAGTAAAAATCTTCTTCAAATTTATTTGGAACCATTACTAGAGCACAGCCTTTATCTATAATTTCATCCATTACAGTCTGAGAAAGTAGCCGTGAAGTAGTAAAGAAAGTAAAGGTTTAAGGTTTTGAAAAAAGGAATATTTTGCCGTAAAAGGGTTGAAAACTACTGTTTTTTTTTATTATTTCAAGTGTTATCATGAAGGTGCTGCTGCCAGTTTCCTATTTCAGCTTCCTACTGTCGCCTCTTAGAACAAACTATTCAATAAAAATGAATCATCAGAATCAGTTCACATTTGACATAGTTAACGAATACAAACATAAAACGTAATCAAACTGTAAGCTGCTGCTGCGAGTCTTCCTTTTTGAAGTTGGGTAATAAAATAAAACCATATTGATTAAAGTCCTATTCTCCCAATATTAATTTGTTTTTAACCCTTCAAAGTAATTAAGCGATCTAAATTAACTTTTTAAAACAAAGTTTCACACAGGTTAATTTCACAGATCCCATAAATGGTTAGAACCGGTGTCTAATATTTTATGACTTAAATATTTAAATATTTGTATGATCATAAAAATGTGGAGTTGCTAAACTCATATCACTCACATCTAATATTTTCATGAATTAACATCACACCAATGTGATTAATTCTATTAAAAACTACATTTGTGTAACTATTTTTTTTTCAATGTTGTTTTTGCTATCATATTTGAAAAAAAGTTACATATTAAATGATCTGTATTTAATATAAGATTAACTTGAAATGTGTGTCGAGCAAAAAATCATAATTCAATAATTATAAATTAAGTTACGTAAGCACTAATGTGGCAAGTTTGTATTAAGGCGTAAGGCAATTTTATATTATATATATATATATATATATATATATATATATATATATATATATATATATATATATTTGTATAAGTATATATTATTACTTGTCCTGCAAAAAATTAAATAATATGAGCTACATTTATATTTTTATATTTACTTACAAAACTGAATTAGAATAAGCTAGGTAGCGATTACATATTTACATATCATTAAACCTGGATATGATGGTTTTATTATCGTCTATTTATCATATTTTTTTTTAAATATTTACAATATATGTAAAACAATGTACTTAAGGTTACTCATTAATATAGAGAAGGAACAAGAAAGAACCCAGAATCGATTGGTAGCCCACTGTAAATCGACCGTAAAAACTAATAATTTGATAACGATATAATATGAATTATAAAAGTTAGTATACAAAATACTTTTCTCATATCATCTGTGATTTAAGAGGGGGAAGACTTGAAGCGTGACTTAATACAGCAGAAATAATCTTCATCCTTTATCACTTCGTAACCGCGTTCGTCGCGACGTGTAGTGGCGGTATAAGAATATTTTTACGCTATTTTATTTATTGGTATTTGGTTACGGCACACCAACAAAACTAAATAAAAACCTATTTACTCTTGCCCTGAAGAATGTTTGAAAGAATGTTGTAAAATAATGCTTCGAAGTTAATTTATCACGACAAGATTTCGATAAGCGCTACTAGTAAACCATCAACTTTCCTCGTCTTTTTGAAAAACCACATCCCCATCCCATGTTGTGACTTTTATGGTGAATACTTTAATCGAGAAACTTCTTAATCTCCTGTTCATAAGGTAGAAAACATTTTTTAAGAAAAATATAAATGTAGCTCGCGACAGTAATTCAACGATGGATTTAACCGCGTGAATTTTAATCCGCTTATCGTAACCTTAATTACTGCTTTTTTTAAATGAAATATGTCCAATTAACAGAGACCTAAATATGATTAGCGCCATGTGGTAGCGGACGTGAGAGATTCGTCGTCGTATGTCGCCTTGGTTGGATGCTACTAAATAGAGGCTAGGAAAGGCCACAAAGATCTTATAATTTGGGATGGATGTTTGTGTAATGTATGAATGGTGTCAATGATGGAGACGTGTTGTTAGCACTAAATCTTTAATTATACCGATCTTTATTAATTATAATTGACATTATGTTGCTTAGTGCGTTTAGGCTGCTACATCACATCTCTTACCGGCAAAAAATACAAAAAAGATAGATTACAATTTACAACATGTTACAACTCATAAGAATATCTCATCTCATAAGAATATAAATAACAAAAGTAAAAAAATGAGAAATTTAAAATTATATAATTACCATGGTTATACAATTCCTGCTTGGTTACTGAAAATGCAAGTGTTCCTAGTTTTATTCACAACGAAGTTATAGGGGGGTCAAAAATGGCCTGAACTGCTTCGCTAAATGTATAGTACAAGTCGTCGTAAGTACTATACGACCGTGCCACGTTTTTGCTCGCCTTGGCGGGGGCACTGCCGTGCCCACAGATATTATAAAGTCTCTTATAGTATTTACGTATGTCATAGTTTGTCAGGGGTAGAGGCTCATAATATGGGCACAAAAAATTTAAATCAATTAATTGTATACATAACACAATGAGTTTCAAAATCGTATTGAGCGATATAAATATTTTCACAATCTATACAAATAAGTAGTATTTTCCCAGAAAGTAATATATTATAATAGATATAAACTTATGATTTAAAATATCAGGAAATAAAAATTTTAAAATAAAATACTGCACTGCATATTAAAATGAACAGAACAAAGAAATAGTAACGGGAACATTAAAGACGTCATTACTGCTACAACAGAGAGATCAAAATACAAATAACGGTAATGCCAGCCGCGTAAGCGAATTGTGACATTC